AGCTGAAAGATGGACTCCGACAGCACAACTCACATCCACGCGGTGAAGAGAAATGTATTTGGGATGTTTTGGGACAGCAGAACAATATCCTGATTAAGTTGGAAAAGAGCTGACAACCTTGGGGAGAAAAGTGGGCTCAGGCCTTAAAACTAGGGGTTGACGATCGATTTTTCAGAACTGTTCAGAAAGTTCTCCTTCAGGTCTGCTCCTCTGCTGACTGACAACAGGCAGTGGGTGGGTGCAATAGCCAGCCTGCTACTGGCTATTGCAATTTGAAACAGCCAATAGCAGGCTGGCTACTGCTTCCCCTGTTATCTGCTGTTTTTTTCTGTATTTACCGCTGTCAGAATACTGTTTCTACATAGATTTTCTGACCAGCTCCTTTGATCAGCTGATCGAGGGATGCCGGTCAGACAGCGGCACCCACCCTGCGAATTGTGGCCAGTTCTTTAAGAACTGGCTGAATTTTGTGCAGTGTATATTATCAGTAATATTACCGATAATTTAAAAACTTGGGAATATCGGCCCCGATTATCGGTGGATCCGATAATCGGTCAATCCGTACTTAAAACATCCTCATATTTGTGCAAAACTAGAAAGGGTTTTTTTTTTTTTTTTTACAGGAGAGTGCTGCTAACTTAGGTCGCTTAAATGACAGCTACAGGCAGACCACCTTATTAGTGAGATCAGCTAAGGGAATACCCTTGACGGTGGTGGTGGGACACACATGATGTGAGCAACTTGCTCAAAAGCCTGAGAGATGAGTAGTCTCTGGTGCAATGAGGATCACCAGAATGCCCTCCACCTCCATCCTGCGTAGCATCCAAGGAAGGGAGAGCAACAACTGGGTGATTCTATACAGAACTTCAAACCAAAAGTATTTATGAAGAACCTTTTTACAAGTCCACCACATTTACATTAATGAGAGGAATGCCCCCACTTTGCCTTGGGAACCATAAACAAGTTTGAATAAAATCCCAGAAACCCTTTTTTGCTGGGAACAGGGACAATTACACCCAGGAAGCAGAGCTGCCATAAAGCAGTGTGAAGATCCTCCAGCTTCTGTTGAGAGATGGACAATTTTGAAGGCATGGAGTGGGGAGGAGGTAGAATGTAAAAGTGTAAAACTCTAGCTTCTAGCCCTTTGAGACAACGTTCTGGACCCAAACAGTTAAGAAATATATTAAGAAATATTTTTTATATTTTCGATATGTCCCCTACTATTGAATGGGTGGCCCATAAGGCGACAATTCGAGGCCGATTCATTGAATTGGCCACCAGAATAAAGAAGAGTGCAACCAGATGCATAAATGAACTGGACACGGAACTTCAACGTTTATCTCGGGCTCATAAGCAGACTCCGTCATTAGATCTCTTGAAATCCCTGGATAAAACTAGATTAGAATTGAATGTGTTACTAACTACTAAAGCAGAAAAAAGTATTCGATGGTCAGATAATAAATATTATGTCCATAAAGATAAAATTGGTACCCTTTTAGCTACTAAACTATCCCCTAAACCTAGAGTTTACACGTTCCCTAAAATTTGATGTACCTCTGGCGCATACTCATTACATCCAACAACTGTTCTTCAGGAGTTCCACTTGTTTTTCACTAAACTCTATCAGGATAGTAATCTCGTTTCATCCAATTCATTGAGATCATTCCTTAGTGAGGTTCACCTTCCATCCTTGTCACTTGACCATTCCATGATTATGGAAGCACCCATTTCTGCACTGGAAATTAAACAGGCTATCAAGCAGGCAACATTGTCATCTGCTCCAGGTCCGGATGGACTGCATGCCTTATATTATAAGAAGTTTTCGGATGTTTTGGTGCCTCACTTGGAGAAATTCTTTAATGAAGTGAGACAGGGGAGTCCCTTACACACAGATTTAAATAGGGCATATCTTACAGTTCTTCCTAAACCCAACAAGGACCTGGGGGAAATTTCCAACTATAGACCAATCTACTTGATAAACAATGATTTAAAACTCCTAACTAAAATTCTTGCTAATCGATTGAGTTCCTTCATATCCTCCTATAATCATAAGGATCAAGTGGGCTTCATTAGGGGTAGGCAAGGCCCCGATCAAATTAGAAGGGCCATTGATATTATCACTTTGTTGCAGTCAGAGTGGGATGGAGGGCAATCACAATCTGGGCTTCTGTTGTCCATTGACTTACAAAAGGCCTTTGATTCAGTGTCTTGGCAATACCTTTTCAAGCTGCTTGAGAGATGGGGTTTTGTCCCTCTCTTTCTGAGCACGTTACGGGCCTTATATACCACCCCGTCAGCACAAATTAGGCTACAGGGCCACATCTCTGATTCCATAGCTATCTCGAAAGGCACACGTCAAGGTTGTCCACTTTCCCCACTGCTTTTTGCATTGGCGATAGTGCCCCTAGCGATTGCGATCCGTGCTAATGTGAATATTAAGGGAGTGGGCTGTGGTAGGCAGGAGCATAAGTGTGCTTTATTTGCGGATGACTTGCTCTTGTTTGTCACTTCACCCTTGACCACACTTCCTAATGTCCTGTCGCTGTTGACTCAATTTGCTGGGGTATCTGGATTGCGGGTCAATGCATCCAAATCATTGGCTCTTAATATCAATATGCCCCAGAATTGTGGTCTCGGTTGTCGGAACATTTTGATTTTACCTGGTCCACGGAGGCTTTGCAATATCTAGGGATTAAACTTACACCTGTTTTTTTACAACTATATAAGAAAAATTATATATCCCTGTTTCACCAACTTTGGGAGGATATGTCTCGATGGGACTCCTGTAATTTGTCATGTCTGGGTCGCATTCATGCACTCAAAATGACGTTGCTCCCCAAGATCCTATATTACTTTCGGGCCCTACCCTTAGCTATACATAAGCCAGACCTTTTGAAATTCCATTCCTTAATTATTAAATTTGTTTGGCATGGGAAACACCCAAAAATCTCATAAACTGTACTGCATCGTTCCAAACGGACAGGGGGTTTGGGTGTTCCCAATCTCTTGCAATACTATAAGGCAGCGTGGGTGGCTCAGCTCTCCTCTGTGTATGACCAGGAAAACATACCAGATTGGATCCTAATGGAATCTGTCTCTGCCTCTGGTATACCAATTGATGCCTTGAAGTGGATGTCCCTGAGGCAGAGGCCGGCTATTCTGGCCCCGACCCTGTCTTGTTCTATGATGGTATGGGACTCATTCCGAAGGGGAGGTGGGCTGGTGTCACCTCATACTCCTCTGGCTCCCGTCTTCCATAATCCTAATTTCCCCCCCGGGGGATCTCCTGGAGTGTTACATTGGTGGCAAGACAAAGGCCTGTACCGCATAGCACAATTTTTTAAAGGTCGTAAACCACTTACTTTGACCTACTGTCGGAAGGTCTTGCACATTACATCTTCTGAATACTTTCACTATAGGCAATTGTTACACTTTTTAGGTTCTTTGAAAACACATAACGTGATGTCTCCCTTCAAAACAACCTATGAACATTGGTGTCTTGGAGCTGGGGGCCAGAGAGGGGGCGCCGCGCTGCTCTATTCCCTCTTGGTAGACACTGAAAGTAAATTACCCTATATGTTAGCTTGGGAACAGGACCTGGAAACAGTTATTCCACTGGATGTCTGGCATCAATGTTGCTCCCGTGTGTCATCTGGTTTACTCAATATTTCAAAAATAGAAGCTAATTATAAGGTGTTATCTAGGTGGTATGTGGTTCCTGCAAGACTAGCGACAATATACCCAGAGGTTTCTCCTCATTGTTTTCGGGGATGTGCTCACCCGGGCACAATGTATCACATATGATGGGAATGCCCTAGATTGAGACCCTTTTGGAACCGGCTTTATGCTCTAATATTTAGGGTTACTGGGGTGAGGATCCCACAAGATCCCCACTATGTGTTGCTGAATCGCCCGATTCTAGGACTGTCTAAAGCTTTGGATAAATTACTTTTTTTGTTGGCAGCCAAAATAACCATAGCTAGGGCTTGGAAATTGCCAACAATTCAATTCCACTTGGTCAAACAAAAAATGTCATGGATCATGGTCCATGAGAAACTTCACAGCATCCTCCAAGATACTGAAAAATTATTTGAATTGACCTGGACCCCCTGGATGTTATATACTGTTTTAGTACATTGATGTTGGATGGAAAGTCTTCTATGTATATAGATATGGAGGAGGTCATACCAAATGTTTTCTTCAGACACAGGTGGATCCCTACGCATGATATTCCTCTCGGATTGTTTTGATTTTGTTTTTGTTGATGGGAGATAATTTGGCAAGAGAAGGTGGCTAGATATGTTCTGTTTCACAGAACTATTATACATTGTGTGTATGGTTTCTAGTGATCTTCTCTTACTACCTGACTATGCTAAGTGGAAGACTTTGAGACGCAATTGTATGCTATACTGTTTGTGCATCATGTGCTATTTTATTGTTTTATTCTATCTTAAAATTTAATCAAATACTTTAAAAATTAAGAAAAAAAAATTCACAAATATCTTCCAAAATTCCTCAAGAAGCAGCGTAACATAACTGTGAAATATGTAGAACCTTACCCCTAACCCATCACACAATTCAGCAATCAGACACTGTGAAATATCGGTCTTGAAATTATACTTGAAATCTGCTGAGTGGTGGGAATATTAGGGTATTATATAAGTGGAAGAAATGTACCTAATATTCATTATAAGGCACAAGAGCCAAGTATGTATTTTTAGAGTGTTTTTATGGATTTTGTACACAAACTATAGAGATTGTTTTCAAAATTTTAAAATATTTTTTGTGTAAATCTATTGATGTAGCAACATTGTTTTATTTGTATTCAGTTTTTTAAACTCGAACTGGCTCAAAATATTTGAAGTTATTTGCAGTTTTTATAAACACCATTTTTTTTCTTCAATGAATTGGTTCTTTTATGCTCTTAAACAGTAATTAGAAATGCAGATACAGCTATATCATGAGCATGTCTTGTAATTTAATTCGACATAAGAACTCACCGTAAAATGTTTGCAAGTATATTCAACCCAAACTTCTGCACAGTTAATGTAATCCTGAAAATGAAAAGTGGATTTTAGTAAAAACGTTTGGATTGCTCACACATAAAAAATGCACATACATAACAGCAAAATATGAGTGGTAGTAAGATATCCTTACACCTACGTAACAGTGAGAAAAGCTAAATCATTCTGGAGCAACTGTAACACAAAATTTCACAAGGAATATTCTGCAGCTGGTAGTCTTGTGTGATCTCTGTGTCCAGATCTGAATATATAATGGCCACTAATACATTAATAATTGTCTGCATTTAACGATTTAATGGACACTTTGTTTCAATTAAGCGTTTAACACACTGACACAGGACGTTTGCTACTTTACTAGTCACTTTTGAGACTTTTTTTTTTCCTCACAGATACCTTTGACTTACACAAGCAGTTGATAAGAAGATTGAATTTGAACATTTTTTCACAGAAGTATTGTTCACTGTTATATTTGTTTTTTTGCACACATTTGTTTACTGCGTTGGGTGACATCGCCACTTCACATATTTGAATTATATTAACACATGCTCATGCAGCCAATTTAAGTGAGCAGCTGTAAGGAGGAACACACAATTTTTTTTTAGAGTAATCAAGAGCAGAAGCCTCTATAGAAAACTATCTAGAACATATTTTAAGGATACAGATAGGAACAGCTATATCCCTGTCACTAGCTGCCATCATCCTTCATGGTGTCGAAACACCCCAAGAGGACAGATACTACGTATCAGAAGACATTGTTCTAACGACGGAGACTTTAGAACTCAATCGAATGTACTAAAAACTAGGTTTGTAAAAAAAAAAAGGCTACAAAGAACTTTTATTAATAAGGAGATAGAAAGAGTAGCGAGAAAACGGAGGCAGGACTTCCTGAAAGATAGAACAAAACGAAGAAGAATACAAAGATTTCCAGTTATCTATATCAGATTACAATGTTCAATAAGATGTAGAAAAGAATGTCCGTAAACATTGGGATATTCTTTGGATGGATGCACAATTTCAAGATTACCCCCAAAACCCAAAATTATATATAGGAAGACTAGAGATATTAAAGATATAGTGGCTAGAAGCGTGGTTCTCCACCAAATAGTTACCTTTTTGGACACATGCAACAGTGAAGGAGTGATGTATGCATTGGAATGTCCATGAGGCTACAATATATAGGTCGCACCACAATAAAACTAGCAATTAGAATCAAAGAACATTTTGATAATATTAGGTGGGGATACAAGGATCATTTTGTGTCCAAACATTTTGCGGAAGTCCACCAAAAAAAACCTAAGTTGCTCCAATTTTAGGGACTTGAAAAGATCAAGAGGCATAGGAGAGAAGGGAATTGGAGGCGTGAGCTGGCCAAAAAAGGTGACTGGTTGGATTTTAAGAGCTGGCACTTTAAGACCATGGGGAATGAACGTTGATTTTGATCTCAATTGTTTTATAGCGGATTATTTATCTTATCAGTCTTTTATATACCTGTTCTTCTTATATTCTTACCTGGTGTGTTTTATTAACAAGAGGGGTTGATACATATACTTGATGCATTTACTTTTTATATGGGGATCTATGCATTTTTGCTGACAAGGGGGTTTATTTAGAGTTACCAGTACCATTATGTTTCTACATGTATGATTTTATATTTTTATGTGGATTTTATTGGCTATTTACATTTGTTTTTTAATTGCATTTTCATATCTATATGTATTTTATATATTTATGAAATATTCCACCATAGGACTTAATGGGGAGTAAAGTGGATGACAGTACATGATTTTATCTTATGTCTGCTGCGGAGGCTGCACAGGTATATATATTATTCAGTATGGCGGATGCTCTGGACCCCTGACGAAGTCACGCTGGACGTAACACGCGTAGGACAGAGCATCTGATGTCACCTTGACTGGGAGGACTAAGCAAGCTACCGCAGTCTTAAGATTTTCTGTTAGTGTTTTCGGTGGGTGGATTATTGCTGTAAATTTCATGCTGAGAAAATGAGTTTTTACGTGAATAGCTAAGTTGTAGAAATGTCACCAGCACATCAGTCCTTTTAGGATAGTAAAAGCTTCATTTATTGAAGCTTGTTGGTCATATGACAAAAAAAACTTCAATAAATGAAGCTTTTACTATCCTAAAAGGACTGGTGTGCTGGTGACATTTCAACAATTTTGCTGACATTCGAGGCCCCATCCGCAGTCACTGCGAGCACCCCCAACTAAAAGGGACATATCGGTAAGGAGTGCAACAAGGATAGTATTTATTTTATGTGAATAGCGGTCTCTTTTTTTATTTAATTACATTTTTATATAAAACAAATGTTTACAGTATAAACAGAACATAAGCATATAAAGAAAATGGGACATTTTCCAAGGCATCTTGAAAGAGTCTGACATATAGTACACACGTTATGTCATGTAGGTAGAATTGGGATTAAAATTATATA